CCAGACGTTGACTTCTAACTCACTGTTTCAATTGCAGCAATTTACTCTGTGTTTAGAAACTCAAAAAGTGATGAGTCCTTGCAAAGATCAGGAGAACTGGCATTATCTCTCCATCCATTTTCCTCCACTAATCCAATCGACGGCCATGAATCTTGCCCTATCAGCTTGGCTAGGCTCTAGTTAAAAAGTGGGTTTCACCATGGACAGGCTAATTAAAAGTATTTCACTTCATAGTATCAATGCACTAAGGCTTTTCTTTTTTGTGTTTTCATGTTCTACCTATGCCTGCGTGGATATTTTCTAGGTGCACTGGCTTTCCTGAGCAGTCCAAATTAAGCAGGTTAAGTTGACAGATGATCCTAAATTAGTTTTGTTGTTTGTTTGGACTGTTGAGCAGCTACAACCCTTTATGTGACAAGAACCGGACAACTTTCCTGTCCCAAAACTTCAGCAACTGGTCCCTTCAGTACTCAAATTTCTACAGACTGTTGTTAAAAGAAGAAAGAATGCTATGCTGTGGTAAACATGGCCATGTACGCACTTTTGGGAAACACTGAAAACATTTGTTTTCTGTGTTCTATTGTGAATAAAATGTTGGTTTATGAGGTTTGCAAACTTGTTTTTACATTTTACACAGTGTCCCAACTTCTTGTAATTTGTATTGTATTAAGAACATACACTTTTGAAGCTCAGACTGGATACTTATATATATGCTTTCGCAACACACATTTACTGTAAAAAGGATTTTTTTAACAAAGGAAAAACACCCAAAACAACTGCTTACCCTGTCCACCACTAACAGTGCTTTCTGATAACTACTAGATGTTCCATGACAATCAGTATAACATGGAAACAGGGATACCGCTAATTAATTAATTGTCACCACTAATTAACTCAAAGCAGATGAACCTTGTTATTCAAAACTGCTAAGGATGGAGAAAAAGGAAAGAAAATAAAACCAATCAATTAAAAAAACATGCAGTTGTTCTTTGAACGTTAATCACCATTAATTTAAAGAAAGCTACACTTTTGTGATTTGGCTTCAACATTTTGCGGTCACATTCATCATCCTGTTCTGTAAGTCCAAAAACAACTGATTGTTTAGCTTCATGAGCAAAATAGACAGATGCAGAAACTGTTGTATGACAGTGATTAGTTAGTTATCACTAAGCTATTTTCAAAGGGTTTCTATTATAATGAATGGTTTTGCTTAGAGTGCAAGTCCACTCTCGATAGAACATGAAATCCAGGCAGCAGCTCAGCAGTCTAACCACATTCGGTTTTGCTACATCCACAAAAAAAGAAGCAATAAAGGAAAAAGGAAGGAAGGGAGGCTATAAAGGAAGAGAGAAAGACAAAGTGTCGAGGTGAAGTGGAGCTTGAAATTTCTGTTATGATATTCTATAAAAGGAACACAAAACCATTCTAATTACATGATTATGCACACGCTCAGCTGATACATGGCCGATCCAATGTCTTTAGAATTTGACCCATTTTTAAACAACTGACTAAGATGAGAGGAAGACGGCTGGGATAAAGTTTAGTGGTGCTATGTTTACAATAAATGGATGGCTGTTGTGTCTGTGTATGTGAGCAAGAGGTAATCGTGCATGCCCTGTTGATGTTTTTGTGACACAGGAAGTGGTGATGTAACAGTATACAATCCCAGAGCTTTTTCGCACACTCACTGTCTCCCACTGTCTGTGTCTCCCACACTCTGATGTATTTGCCCCTCGGCCACAGTGATGTTCCAAGTCCCACAATCATCTGAGAGCAGTGGTTATGGTCGCGGTCTTTTAGCTCTCTGGTTGAGACAAACATACACGCAACGACATATTTAGGGAGCAAGAAGCTGTGCAGGCCCAGGGAATTTTAATCTCCTTAAATGCAAAAGTCCACACATGTGTCACTGACCCTGTTTTTGTAAGAATATTTTAAATCTTAGCCTCATAGGTTTTAAGTGTCAACTAAAGAAAAGTACCAATTGTGTAATCACTGGTTTTGTGTGTGTGCAGGCAGCACGGTGGCACGGTGGTTGGCACTGTTGCCGCACAGCAAAAAGGTCCTGAGTTCAATTCCACCATCAGGGGTCTTTCTGTGTGGAGTTTGTGTGGGTTCCTCCGGGTACTCCGGCTGTCTTTGGACAGCATTCCTCCCGCTGTCCAAAGACATGCAGCTTGTGGGTTAATTGGATAATCCAAATTGCCACTAGGTGTGAATGGCTTTCTGTCCCTGTGTGTTGGCCCTGCCACAGACTGGCGACCTGTCCAGGGTGTACCCCACCTCTCGCCCTATGACAGCTGGGTTAGGCTGACCCTGAAAAGGATAAGCGGAAGCGAATGGATGGATGGTTTTGTGTGCTTTTTTTCAAGAAAGATGCCTATTATGCAAAATCTTGATGCTATTTTTGAGTATCCAGTAAATCCAGTGTCAAATTACTTTAGCTGTTGGCTCACCTGATACCTTTCTATGAATTCAATCGTTTTTATTTGTTATTTAGCTAGACTAGCTGTTTAGCCTGTTGTGTCTGACTTAATCAATGTCATATCTTTTGTCACTGATGCCTTCTGGCTCGGTCCTGAAAGTCTGGGTCCCGCTCTCCCCACGTTTCACATGGAAGGGCCTGTATTTGTATAGCGCTTTTCTAGTCCCTAAGGACCCCAAAGCGCTTTACACAACCTGTCATCCACCCATTCACACACACATTCACACACTGTATAAAAAAGCAATTTAGACTACGATTCATGTTTAGCCATATATTTGTATAGCATTTAATTCCATGCACCTTAAATCCATAGCAAAATTAGAATCAACAATTAAAACAGCATGCATGTCTTTGGATTGCGGGAAGAAGCTGGAGTACCCAAAGAGAACCAACACAGGAATGCTGAAAACATGTAAATGCCACACAGAATGGCCTCGAGACCAAACCCAAAGCCTCCATGCTGCCATCTGAATATTCAGTGCCACTATCCCACAGAGACAGTCTTCATTTAATCTGGAAGCTACTGATCATACCTCATACCTCACAGCAGCATACAGTGTGTGTCCTGCATTTTAAGAAGCTGAAAGCAATCACACGCATCCTTACTCAGTCTTCATACAGTAACTTACCACCAAATTTTTATTGGATTGAAATTGCACAAATATGCTAATAAAGTGAAGGATTCCCCTCGTGTGTATGTATGAGTGTGTGTGCGAGGAGGAGGGCATCGCTTTGGTTTATCTTCCAGCCACACTATTTAAGCTCCTGCAAAGGGAGGGTGCAGGGTTACTGTGTGTGTGTGTGTGTGTGTGTGTGTGTGTGTGTGTGTGTGTGTGCGTGCGTGTGTGTGTAGAGGGTAGAGGGAGTAGCTTTCAGTACCAAGGGGAAATGGTACTGTGATTTCAGACCAAATTAAGCCACATCAAACAGGCCAGATCAAAGAGTATACAGGCCTTACTGTCTGTGCCAGGCTGACATCACGACAGGATACCCCACCCCCCAGAAACACACAAAAACATCCACTTCCTCCTTCTTTCCTTCACTTTCATTTTTTCATTATCCCCTCCATTTCCTCGAGTTTCTATTTTACACTGGCAGATTTCTCATATTTCACTGTTCCTGTAAAGACATTTTTGACCTCATGCTGATATAAATACACCCGCCAACCCCCGGCACGCACAATTTGCAAGCATTTAACAGGGTTATAGGTTAACCTGGATCAAGTATAATGTAATATGTGCTGGGGGTGTGTGATAGAGGAATCATCGAGTCTTAAGAAGTGCTAGGAGGATGGGGGAGTAGCATCCATTAAGACACCGTTTCAGCTTTGAATTGTGTTAACGATCTTGGCTGTTCTAGTCAGACCCTTTGATGCTGCCTGATGCCAGTGGCTGTCAAGTCTTCTCTATATGTGTGTGTGCGCATTTGTGTGTGTCTGTGTGTTGGATAGATGGATTAGATGGCTGCATGAGGAGGAGAGGGGGTTGATGATGAAGGACGGGGTGAAGCGGGGGTGAAAAAGGGATTGGGGGATGCAGAGTACCAATGGAGGAGAGAATGGAATTGGTGTGTGTGTGTGTACATGTTTAGATATCTTTGTGAGGACAGAAAAATGTCATGCTACTATACTTGTGGGGCCTAACAGTCACTTATGGGGACAAAATGCCGTCTGCACGAGTTTGAAGCCATTTTTCAGGCTCAAAATGCAGTTTTAGTATCAAGGTTACAATTAGGTTATGGTTAGGTTTAGGCTGAGGGTTAGGATTCAGATTAGGCATTCATTTTTGATGGCAAGGGTTAAGGTAAACAGCCAGCGAAAGCATTATGTCAATGAGATGTCCTCACTAAGATATGAAAACGTATGTGTGTGTGTCTGTATGGTTTTAACTTGAAAAATGTAGAGCTAAAGGACATCAAAGCATATGAAATGAAAAAGTCTGTAGTGAATTTACAACAAAGACACTTTTCTGTTATCAGAATATTTGTTTATTTTTAATTCATATTGAACATTATTGGTATCAATTTAAACACACGCATGCACAGAAACATATATAAGCAAAATGCAATGCAAAGTCTCAAAAGTAAAACTTTTTTTATTCTTCAAAAGCAACTCTTCATGTTAGAATATTATTACTACATCATTATCTTCCCACCCCATATGGAAAAGAAATAGTAAAAACTTATATGTGATTACTCATGAAAGTGGCCACTTTCTCATTACTTTCATATATTGTTTTAGTAAGTATCCAAAACATACAAGTTTCATTATATAATTTTTCAAGGGCTCTTATATCTGTTTTCACTCTTGTATGCTTTTCATACAAGTTTCACACAAGACAGATGCAAACTAAGATTTATATTAAATCTTTTCCATATGGGACTTCATGTATCTTTTTTCTTCTGGCATCCTTTTTAACACGTGTATTTTGGTTTGGTAACACATATATGCAGTAAACTTTTGTCATTAAATGATATTTTTCCATTTTAATGTGGATCCCTTTCTTTGTGTTGTCAGTGCTCCTATCCTGTGTGGGAGGACTTCAGCGCCAAGGCCACCAAGCTGCATTCCCAACTCCGGTATGCTCCACTGCACAACACACCACTGCACAGTCGACAGCTTTTGAATTATGAAAATATTAAGAGAATATTTAATGCCAGTTTCAAAACAAGACAGATTAAAGTCGAGAGAATTTGGGATTTTTTTTTTTACCTTCAGTATTTAGGCCTTTAGACTTCATTTAAAGGCATAGACTAAATATGAGAATGCAGTAGCCTGAAAAGTGGGCCTAATATAGGGCATTAAACCAGTTAATATGGGAGTGGATAACTGGGTGTTACAGTTTTAACACACTCTGAGATTTCTTGTAGGACAGTCCTAGCAAAAACTGTGGAAAGGTATATGAGTCCCACATCACAGACATGACTTTTCCACTTGCTTTTGTTCGCAACGCTGTTTCCTTCAAAATATTCACATTCTGTTTTTTCAGACATGCCCACTGTCGCATCCAAAAGATGAATCAGAAATGACAATGAATGAAATTAAAGTGTTCATCTATTTGATATTTTAGTTGTTAAAATGTTTTTATTAGTGAGAGGCCTTAGAGAAATCTTGTACCCTTTTCACTTAAATCCAAACCTCACTTAAAATGAGTTGAGGAAGTTAAGGCTTTAAAACTGACACAGCAGCAGGTATTGTTGGTACAGCTCCATTTTTATATACAGTTTTAAATATAGTCTATGTATAAATTCCATAATACCATAATATCCTAATATCATGTGAAGTCAGGCTGAAGTTTTGTCAAAATGCTTTTTTTCTGTCCATAGAACCACTGTGTTGGCTGCCGTGGCCTTCCTTGATGCCTTTCAGAAGGTGGCAGACATGGCTACCAACACCAGAGGTAGGATAACAACGTGTGTCTGCGGGTTTGTAAGAAAGAAACAGCGACTTGCTCAGAGAACTGTAGGCTCTGTGTCTTCTGTTGTTGCTTTTCTGAAATGCCCTCCACATTGCAGAACTATCAAGAGTATTATTATGTTGTTGAGATATTATCAACCAGCCTTCTAAAGAGCCATCTTACTCATGAAAGTGTTTCCAGTGTCCTCGAGGTAAACTTTGTCCCAAACTTCAAAACAAGTTTACTGCTGTTTACAGAGACAAAAACATGATGGAAGTACCTCAGAGAGGTCAATCAAATCTATTTTTGTAGCAGGATGCATTTTATCAGGCATCCCAATGCAATGGGAAACACCTTTTAAACACTGAGGCAACAGGGGACAAAAAATACGTGCATCAGGATTTTATTGCTGGGAAAGAAAAGAAATGGAAAGTATTGGTTATTATTTTTATTCCATGGAGTCTTTTTGAGACACACAAAAATAGTCCTTCATTCTTTCTTGTCAAAGTACTGTAAGAGTTTTTGAGTTATTGAGAAAGTTCTCACAGAGGTAATGTTTGAACATCAGCAACCTGCAGAATAGTTACAGTCCCCAGTACTCCAACTACTGTACCGGAGGAATAACTAAGATTTTTTCCATATTTTCATATTGGTCATGGTGAATACACATAAAAGCCAGCATCAAGCGTCAGCATCAGTAAACCAACATGTTAATGCTGATTGGTGAGTGAGTAAAGTGTGAGTAATGCCAAATGCAGGGTGCAGAAAAACAGACCAAAATGACTAAAACTCATATCTATAAATGAAAGTGATAAGTTGTTTTTGCGTCAAATGAATCAAGTCGGTCATGTAATAGGCGTGAAATCTTCATAATTCATGAATGACACAACAGTAAGCTCAGTGTGAAGTAGGAAGTAGCTCCAGAAGTATAGCCTCAGATTGTTTTTGTACCCAATGATTTTGGAAGGTGTAGCAAAAAAATTTATTTTAGGGTGAGAAATGCTTGTAAAGCTCACTGGGTGATTGTTGCTGACAGAGGTGCAGAATGATAGTGAAGTTCTCACTTTATGTAGCAAATAAACAGCTTGAATTGTGTGCAATGCGACTACTGCACTTTAAACTTTGTCTAATTGTCATTTTTGCTACAATTCCATGGATCATGTTTCCTAAGAAGAGCTTACAAAAAATGTGCACATTATACACAGCTGGTAAAACCTGTGGGTAATGTGCCAAACAATTGTAACTTTAAACAGCTGTTTGGTTGCTTTCTAGCAAGTTGATTCACATCTTAAATTCCTAAAATGCCCATGATTAATGTTGTTACATTTTTTTTTTCTGCATGGTACTCAGCCAAAAATTCAACTGAGTTTATAGACTTATGGGCTATGGATTGTTTTCTTGTGTGTTTGGCTTGACACTCTTGACACACTTGATATTCTGTGCGTAGGCTTAAAGCTTGGCACAAGTTTTAAGAGAGTGTGGGATGAGAGCTAAGAAGGTCAGACAAACATTCATCGCCCACCGGCAACCACGTGAATAGTACGGTACCACTGAGGAAAGTGAGGAAGATGACCGAGACCGTAATACAGGGAATTTCTCCATCCATGTAGCTTATTAGGTGCAGCTGCCAGACAGTGTATGTGGTGTGTGTCTGCAGCCCCAGGTGGGCTCCTATAGCAGAGGATACAGGAAGATCATGCTGCTTTTACAGGCCAGACAGGAAGTCACCATGCTTTGTCAGCTCATTATATGTGCCACACACACACACACACACACACACACACACACACACACACACACACACGCGCGCTGAAATATAACATAAATGGTCCTGTCACAAAGATCCAGACTGTTCATCAGAGGCTCTTTCTACTTTCTATACTGATGAGTCATTCCTGTTAGAGTCCATTTGTCAGACTGCGATACAGATGCGTCTCTTTCTCAGTGTGTGATGTTCTATAATAGATTTGTTAAATGGATGCAGGCAGGAGACGGCACCAATAATGATGCTCTCTGTCTCCCTGCCACTTGCTATATCAATGTGCTACTTATTACAGTGTGTATGAATCAAGCCCAAAGGGTACTGATGATCCTGTGCTCTGCTCTAGTACTGACAGTCCCATTTGGAAGGCTGGATTGGGAATGTTTTCATTACGGCTGTCAAACAAATTTTAAGTGAACTGAAACGCTGCAAAATGTTATCAAGTGAAAAAAAAACAGGCTCCTATTATTCATGGAATATTTCTCAAAGTCTTGACAGCTAATGATTCATGTTATCGTTCACCATCTTGTGAAACTTGCCGTGAACTATTTTAGTTCTTAGAAACAGAAGAAAGAAAAGCCTTATGTGGCAGTTCATTTCGAAAACAAGTTGAAATTTTCATGCGACAGCGTGCAGGACTCCCTACCCAGACCAGCACAATGCGGCTGTTACATTTACAGCTTAATGAAGCCTCCAGTTGAGGACTTGTGAGATGTCAAACCAGGAACTCTCAAGATTTGTTCCTGGGTTTTTTTCTATTCAGATCAAATTTACTTTTGATTTTTCTGTGACTGGAGTTGTACACACAGTTGTTCACTGGCCGTTTCTGCCTGTAGTTGAAGGCTGATGTTTCAGAGACTCAGCAGCCTTATTTAATTAACAAAAGGGTTTTCTGCTGAGTCAGCACGATTTAAAAAGTTTTCTAATGATGAATTAGCCTTTAAATATTCCATCAGGGAACACGTTGTGCCGCTGAAACACACAACTCTGTACATTTTTCTACGCAGTCCCTCATAAAAGATTTCTGATTAATGATCAATTTATTCTCATCTTTCTTCCAAAAACAGGGACGTTTCAAAATGTCCCCAAACCCTTCACCGCTGCTGTACATGCCCCTCAGAGAAGGATCCCCAACTTATCTAACTAATGAAGCTGACATGTATTATTCAAAAGTATTTTATTATTTGTACTGACATGATATTTGATGTATGTTTCTCTCAAGATTAACCCTTTACAGACAAGTCATTTCTAGTGTTATTAGAGGATATTTTTATATACTTTTTATTTAATTTTACATTTTTTATGTTGAAAATCAAGTTCGGTCAAGGTGATCAAACTGACCAAAATCACGTCTTTCACTATTTGTTTGACCTGCTGATTGGTAAAATACAAAGAGTTCACTCTCTGTGATTTAGCCTGGTCACAAAAGTGTCCACTATCGTTTGCGTTCAGTGTGTATAGCTAATGTTAGCATGCTAACACTAGAAGGGGATAGCTATCAGCTATCTGATATCTGTGTGCTACAGAGTCTGCTCACACTAGCATCTAGCTGAAACCTCTATGAGTAAATAATATGTCTGGACACAGTCTGCTGTTAATACCTGATAAACACAAATAACTAAAAAGTATGTGTTTTGGTAGATAGTCTATATTTTCTTTCTTATTAGGGGTTAGATGAGGATTTGGAGAGGAAGACTAACACAGAAATGTGTGCATCTGTAAATGCTAACAGGGTGGCTTTAAAACAAAGCCACGCTCTATTTTTATATGTAAGTGGGAAAAGTCACAAACGCCAGGTAATGAATTTTTCAGTCTCGATCTATGTTTTCTCCTGGGGTCATCTATATTCATTATTTTCTCCTAACAAAATTAAAAGTGGCCACATTAGGTAAGATAAACAGTTTTCTTAGTTTTTGTCATTGTGTGTGTGTGTGTGTGTGTGTGTGTGTGTGTGTGTGTGTGTGTGTGTGTGTGTGTGTGTGAAAGACATTTAACAAGTGGGTGAAATCCAGCAGTAGGAAGTGAACAATTATTTGTGAATTCCCTGGTGTGGGATGAATGGGAGTGCACTTTCAGATGTGCTCTCCACCCCTGTCTTATGGCCCAAACATTCACTTTCCGCAGCGCCCCTGAGGGAAAACTGTGTTTTACATGCGAGTGTGTTTGTGTGTGTGTTTATACAAAGAGATTAAGTGAAGGTTTTCCCAGCAAAACCTATTCCTTTTGTTGTTTTGGCTTTTGTTTAAGTTACAGAGTGGGCTTTTGTAGTTTTTTTTCTTAGTTCACTGGCAAACTCAAAACTTTGAGTGGGTAACATGGGCTCAAAGTTTTAATGCTGGAAAATATATAAAGATATTTTTCAGATGATGGAAATTATCTACAGTAACAGTTTCTACTGTCAATAAAATCTGTATAAAATTGTTGATATGCAGATTCACACCCGTTTGTTTGAATTCTTTTACTGATAATATCTGCCCACTTCTGTCACCACCCTCATATAAAGATGCAAATACAGCGATAATATTTCATGTTTCTTTTTGCAGCATGACATGAGAATTTGACGACTTGTAGAATATTTGTATTATATATTTGTTTATTTTATTTAACCTGTTGTTCTTGAAGAGATCTGGGCTGTGGCTGGAATATTCTATTTATATCATGTGTGGCAAACTTAATATTTTGTTCCATAGCGTTTATTACAGCCATTACAGCCACCTCTTTCATTTCCTGACAGAGGTGGCTGTAAATGAGACAGGATGTCATGATAATCGTAAGTCCCAAAAAAGCCTTTTGTGACTTGTCATCATGTATGAGATTTGTTGTTTTACTCATGTGTTTTATTCATGCAATATTGATGATGATGAAGATGATGATGTTAATGATGCTGAGGCATCTGTATCCACACACACCCTCCCTCATATCTGTCCTCTCTCTGCAATCACAGCAGTAAAACCTGGGTCAGTCCCAGGACTCTCACTATGCATATTTGGCACTGTGTGCAGCAATAAAGTGCCCTGTGTGTGTGTGTGTGTGTGTGTGTGTGTGTGTGTGTGTGTGTGTGTGTGTGTGTGTGTGTGTGTGTGTGTGTGTGTGTGACAGAGAGAGAAAGGGAAAAAGAGAGGAAGATGATGATCTGATGGTACAGAATGCCTGGTGGTTCTATTGCCAGGCTCCCTGCCTGCACCCAGATACGTAATGAATATCATAAATCTTTTTAATGCACACCAACACTTGTGTGCAC